CCGAGGACCGTGACCAGGTGATCCGAGCTGCTGACCGTGCGCGTCTTCTCGGGCTCGAGAACGCAGGTTGCCGAATTCTGACTTCGGTCCGCGTCGAGCCGCTGGCCTCTGCCCTTCCAGGCTGCGTCCAGAAGGCCCGGAGAGGCTTCGTTCCATCCTTCGGCGCCAACGCCGGGCTCCAACGCCGCAGTTGGATGCCGACGCTCGGGTCACCTCTATCATCCCAGATGTCCACCTGAAGGGCCGCTCTGGTCTGGCACGACGATGGTCAAGCGTCCCCGCGGGTTTCTCACATCTGGATATCCCGGCCCTGAAGCAGCTGAATCCTCCAAAGCCCCTCCTGGAGCCTTTTGAAAGTTTCGGGGGAGCGCAAGACCCGGGTTTGCCAGGACTCGGGTTCGCCATCGTTTTTTGACGACCGCGCCTCGGATTTTGACGAGGAGGAGTTTCGTGGGATGCCTGCAGCGGGAGGCCTCGTCAAAATGCAGGCTCGGCCTCGTCATTTTTTGGACGACCTCGTCGGGGATTTCCGAGTCCCCCGTAACCGGGTCTTACGTCTTCCCGAAAGTAGGATCTGCCACTCATGAGTTGGAAGCGCGGAGGCAACTGCATGCGCCCTTTACGGAGTCGGGGCACGAGAAATTGCACGTCGCCCCCCTCGCGGGCCCCCTTGGCCCAGGGACGCGCAGCGCGTGAAATGGGCACCCCGCGCCAGTGCTGTCGTTGAGAGCGGCTGCCCCTTTGCTCTCGCCGAGCTTTCTTGCCTCGCGGGGTGACCCCACCGCAGAAATGCTCTGGCGCGCAGCCTTGCGGCTCGAGTTCGGGCGTCTCTAAGCTCGTTCCCAGAGTCGCGACGAAGCCACGATCGAGTCTGGGACGCTGGCCCCCTTCCTGTTGCAGGAGGCGGGGGTGGGTGGTCGTCGCGATCTAGACGATCGCCAGCGCGCTGCGCGAATCGCTGCTCGGCCCGGCTTCAAACCCAATCTCCCCTGGCGCGGGCGCCCCGGCCGCGCTGCGCCAGGGCCGCCGTCCGGGGCGTGAGAACGGTTGGAGAAAGCTGTTGGCGCAGCTTTCATGCCCCCCCGCCTTGTTTCTGCGCGTCTCCTCGCCCTGCCTCGCCCTTTGCCCCGCCCTTCGGCCCCGTGACCTGGCCGGCGCAGATTGGCGCGAGGTCCGCCGGGCCGCTTTGGGGGCTCCTTCTGCCCAGCGCGCCGCGGCAATCAAAACCAGCGCCGGCGACTGGGCTACAGGAGAGCGATAGAAGCGAAGCTCCCAACCCTGCATGCGCGGTCGTGGAAATTCTTTCGGAAGCCAGTCTCATGTTTCACGTCTTACCCAACGCATTGGAATTTGCGAGCGCCAATTCGAAGCCGCCCGCCCCCCGAGGGTCCTTTCTCCCGTTTCGGCCTCGCCCTCCTTGCAACCCAATGTATGTGGTTGTTTCTTCTTGTGTATTCGCGCTAGCTCGCCGTCATCTCGCGCCTCTTTCCGCCGACGCCTCCGCGGCCCCACCCCCCGATTTCGCAGCCGCGGTCTTGAAGCGCAGGAGTCCGCGCGGCCGTCGGCCCGCGCCGCTGCTCGTCGCGAGAGCAGAGCTGCGGGTTCCAGCAGGTCGCCCAGCGCGCCGCTCCTCGCGCGCGCGACAGGTGGAGGCAGAAGTCATCAGGGCGAGCCTTTGGCCGCGGAGCGCGAGCGCAGGCGGGCGAGGGCCCGGCGCGGTGCTCCGCCGGGCCGCGGCTCGGCAGCTGCGACAGCGGCGCCCCGCCCCAGGGGTGGGCGGCGCTGGCCGCGCGGCCGAATTGCGCGCCGCCGCGGCTGCGTGGCCGGCCTGTCGCGGCGTTTTATTGGGTCGTCGCGCGGCCCCGCGCGCAGGGCGCGCGCCGGGCGCGCGTCTGCGATGGCGTCGCATCAGCGCTGGCAGAAGGAGGGCGCGGAGGGCGGGCGGCGGCGGGCAGCGGGCGGACGGCGAAGAGAAGACAGCGAAGCAAAGCGAAAGGCGCCGGCCAGGGTGGTTGCGCAGTCGGAGTGGGCGCGCGCAGCAGCGGTTGAAACCGAAACGCAATGTCTGGGAACGACAGGGGGCTGAATGCCGTGTGGAGCGCCTCATCTGCGCTGGCGAGGGCTTCTTTCGTCCGTCTGTCGTCGTCCTGCCAGCGCCGCTTCCGCCTGCGCTCTGCGGCGCCCTCGGCGGCGCGGGCGAGGCTGCGCTGGCGGCTTTGCTGGCGGCCTTACTGGCGGGGCATCGGGCGGCGGCGACGGCGCGCTGGGGGCCACGGAGGGGCGGCCACCGTGCTCCTCTGCCCTCCAGCCAAACGAATTCGGAAGGCCGTGCCAAAGAACCGCGCCTCGCCATCTGTTGCGGCTGTTTCGGCAGCGGCGGCCGCGCGCGCCGCCGCGGAGCTAGGCCCGCGCTGGAGCGCGCGCGATCCTCGTGGATGGGGCCCGAAAGGCGCGCGCGCCGGGGCGACGCTTGACACGGAAGCGCAGGGCGCGCCTCGCAGCCCTGTGGAGATGCAGCAGCGCGGAGCCACCGCCTCTTGCGCGGGTCACTCCGCCTTCGCTTAGCACCGTCTGACATGCGGGCCCCGTTTCGCTTCTTCCGGGTCGATTCCATCTCGAATATCGCTGCCGGTTTTCGCCGATCCTCTTCATGTCAATCGCTGGTCCGACGTGCCGATTCGATTTTCTGTTTTCTAAATTTATCCCTACTATTTCTAAATTTATCCCTATCCATTTATCTATCCTAAATTTATCCCTATATGTTTTCTGTTTTCTGTTTTCTAAATTTATCCCTATCCCGGTGGGGCGTGGTATTTCCGCTCCATCAACCCACCCTTCTAGGTGGGGCTGGGCCTCGCGAGGCTTGGAGGAACAGGCATTTGTCCCCGCCTGCTTGCGTGGGCAAGTCATCGAAAGGGGCCAAGGCCACGTCAGTGCAAAGAGGAATCGGTTAAACTATCCCTACTGGACGCCACGTGGGCCGACGAGCTGCCGCCGCGAGGGTCCGGACGGCGGCTCTGATGGCGACTGTCCGCGGGCGACCTCCTGGTGTTGCGGTTGTGGCGCCAAGCGCGGCTCTGCTATTCGGCGCGCCGCCTGGCGACCCACGCCTTCCTCCTGGTGGGCGTGGCCCACACTTCGGGCCTGTCCCGAGATCGGAGGCGCGCGGTGAATGGCGTTGCGGTTCCAAGGCGGGCGGGGCTGGCACTGGGGAGGAAGGGCGGGCGTGTTCGTTGCGCGGCGAGCCCCCCGGGGGCTCGCCGCGCAGCGAGCAGGCCCGCCTTTCCTCCCGTCCGTTCGCTACACGGGGTTCGCTTTCGGCGCGCCCCACTATGTGTTCTCCTGGGTTTGCCAGTGGCCAACCTGCAGACCTGTAACTCGTTTCGCGTCGCCCTTTCCTCCTCTGCCTCCTCCTCGTCATGACCGTTTTCGCACTCGCCCTCGTCCACCTCCTCCTTCTCCTCACCGCGTTTCGGTGTTGAGGGCGATCTGCAGTACTTGCTGGTGCCCCCCTCGTTCCCATTCCCCCCGTCCTTGCCCCTCCCCCTCTTCTCCCTGTTCCTTTTCCTCCCTTCTCCGAATTCCTCGTTCCGCCCTCCCTGTTGTTGGTCGTCCTCCTCCTCCTCTTTCTTTTCCTCCTCCTACTCCTCATCTTCCTCCTCCTCGTCCTCCTCTTCCTCCTCCTCTTCCTCCTCCTCCTCCTCCTCTCCCTCCTCCTCCTCCTCGTCCCCCTTCTCCTCCTCCTCCTCCTCCTCCTCCTCCTCCTCTCCTCCTCCTCCTCCTCCTCCTCCTCCTTTTCCTCCTCCTCCTCGTCCTCCTCCTCCTCCTCTTCCTCCTCCTCTTGTATCTTTTCGTTATGACTAACCCGCCTCCTCTCTGGCGCATCATCATACGTGTCGGTAGGGCGGGCCGGGCGTTTTGCCAGATATTTCCCCGCCGATGTTGGTTTTAAGCTTGAAGTTCGCAACAGCTTCACGGATGGATGGTGGACAGTTTTCAACATGTGGCGTTGGCTTTAGCGCCACGCAGATTCTTTTCAAACGTTTGCAGGAGCTTCATGGATCGAGGGCGGGTGGTTTTCACAATGTGGTTCTCGCCTCAACGCCGCGCACATTCTTGCTGGAGGTTCGCGGCGGCTTAACGGATGAAGAGTGGTTCTTCTTTCAAAACGTATGTTTCGCCGGAGCGACGCGCGCATTTCTTACAAACGCGTAGAACCATGTCAAATATTACATGGTCAAAATCCCAGGGCTGGAATGGCGTTGCGTTAATATCCAGGATGGTCATACGTAACAGTTGCGTTAATTCGCGGTGTTGGAATCCCAGGAGTGATGTTCTGGTAGGGTTGTTAAGGAGCAGCCGCCACGCTGGTTCGCAACGTTGAAGTCCCACGGTTGTGTTTGGGGCCAGGTGGAGAATTCTCAGACGATTGTTTTCCAATCGGGCATTTCTCGCCATGCACATACATTTTCAGTAGGGCCCTATGAGACGGGAGGTTCGAGGGAGGGTTCATTGCAACATCGTTGATGCGTCTTGGGTTTATTTCTGGTCATCCTCCTCATCCCTTCCTCCTCGCCCCATCGCCGACAGCACGCTCGGCCTTACAGCCTTGATGTCGGCACGCATTTAGTTCGCCCTCGCCACGCCTCGAGCACGATTAGTACAGCTCGGCCGCCACAGCCGCGCTCACTCGCCCCACTCGTTGCCGTGACGGCCCGTGGACGGGCTTGATGGAGCCAAGAGGCTTTTCCTCTCTCCCTTCCCCTCCCTCCTCCTCCGCCCTTTTTCCACAGATGTCCTCCCGCCGTCCTTCCTTCCTTCTCCTCCTCCTCCTCCTCCTGCTCCTCCTCCTCCTCCTCCTCCTCCTCCGCCTCCTCCTCCTCCCCCCCCTCCTCCTCCTCCTCTTGTTCCTCCTCCTCGTCCTCGTCCTCGTCCTGTCCTCCTCCTCCTCCTCCTCCTCCTCCTCCTCCTCCTCCTCCCTCCTTCTCCTCCTCTCTCCTTTCCCTTCCCTCCCATCCCCTCCACCCCCGAAAATGACTCGGGGCCTGCTGCCGCACCTCTGCGCCGCGGGCGCCGCGGGCGCGTGGCTGCGCGGCGGGCCAGCGGCAGGCAACCTGGCTGCTGCCGCCGCCGCCACCGGCCGCCGCCGCCGCGTCTTTGTCGCCGCCGCCGCTCCCGTCGCCGTCGCCGTCGTCGTCGCCGTCGCCGCCGCCGCCGTTGCCGTCGTCGTCGTCGTGGTCGTCGTTGTTTGCGTGGTCGTCGTCGTCATCGTCGTCGACGTCATCAACGTCGTTGTCGTTTGCGTCGTCGTTGTTGTCGTCGGTATCGTCATCGTCGTCATCGTCGTCGTCGTCGGCGGCTGTCTCCGCTGTCGCCGTGGCGCTGACTGTAGCCGTCGCTCCCTCGTGCTGCCTCTTCTCCCGTCTCCTCTCCTCTTCCCTTCTCTCCCCCTCCTTGCCCTTTGCCTTCCTTTTTCCCCTCCGCCTCCTCTTCCCTATCCTTTCGTCTCCTCTTCCTTCCTAGCGTCCCTCTTCCCTCCCTTTCTCTTCCTCTTTCTCCAATTTTTGTCTTTATCAATCATTTCTCCCTGTGTCACCCCAGGCCAGTTGGAAGGGCCGCCCGGGCGTTGCGCCTGAGTTTTCCTCACCACTTACGGTCCTGAAGCTTAGAAGTTGGCAGCAGTTTCGCACATTTCAGGCTTGTCGGTTTTCATCATGTGGCCTTCGCTTCAGCGCCGCGCGCAGGCGTTAAACAACTTGCAAGAGTTCTCGGATTGAGGCTGGGCAGTTCCTAAAATGTGGCTCTCACCTCAGCGACGCGTGCATCCATATTTCTAATTGCAAGAGCTTCACGGATTAAGGGCAATCCCTTTTCAACATGTGGCTCTCGCCTTAGCGCCGCGCGCACTCGTCTTAAACATGTGCAGACATCCCACGGACGCCCACAGTCAACGTACCAAAACAAATTTTGTAGGGGCCTACGAGGACAGAGTTAGCAGGGAGAGTTGTTGATTCCAACATCGTTGATGAGTCTTGGGTTTACCCTGATCCTCCTCCTCCTCCTTTGCCTCCTCCTTCTTCACTTATAAGCGCGAAGCTTAGCAGCTGGCAGCAGCTTCGCAGATGGAGGGCGGGTGGCTTCGCAAAGTGTGGCTCTCGCCTCAGCGCCGCGCAATGTCGTCCTAAGAATCAGCTAGAGCTTCACATATTGCGGGCAGCTGGTTTTCAAAATGTGGCTCTCGCTTTAGCGCCTCGCGCTCTCGTTTTCAACAAATGCAAGAGGTTCACGGAATGCGTGCGGGTGGTTTTCAACATGTGGCTCTCGCTGTAGCGCCGCGCACATTTGTCCTAAGCATGCAGGAGGTTCGTGGCATGAGGGCGGTTCCTTTTCAACATGTGGCTCTCGCCTTAGCGCCTCGCACATTCGCTTAGAACAGTTGCAATATGTTCATGGGTCTCCATGTCAACGTGCCAGAAATGATGCTTTGTAAGACTCCGGATTGCGAGGGCGCAACAGTTACACTGGTTCGCAGTGTTAAAGTACCAGAAATAGCGTTCTGACACGGTTCCAGATCGTCCAGACGCAACAGCCATGTTGATTCGTGACGCTGGAGTCCCGAGAGTGGTGTTCTGGCACGCTTCAGGGTCTTCCAACGGTTGTTCCCCAACGAGGCAGTTCCCTCAGTAAACGATCTACACTTGTAGGGGTTTATAAAGAGAGAGCTTGGAGAGAGGGTGTATTCCAACATCGTTGATGCATCTTGGGTTTACACTAGTCCTCTTCCTCCTCCCGCTCCTCCTCCTCCTCCTCCTCCTCCTCCGCCTCGTCCTCCTCCTCCTCCTCCTCCTCCTCCCTCGCCTGTCCTACCTCGCCCGCCTCCTCGCTGTCGTCCCCCCGTCCCCGTGCCTTCGTCCTTGTCCCCGCCGCCAGCGGCAGCGGCGCCGCCGCCCAGCCAGGCCCCGGCACCGCCGACGCCGGCCTCGTGCCGAGCTGGGAGCGTGGCTTCGGGCAGGGCCAGGCCGCACAGCCCCCCTCCCTCTTGGCTTCGTCGTCGTCGTCGTCGTCGATCTGCCGTCGTCGCCGTCCGTCGTCGTCCGTCGCTCACCGTCAGTATTCCCTCGTCGTCGTCGTCGGATTGTTCGGTGTCGTCGGTGTCGTCGTCCGCTGGTGTCGTCGTCCTTTTTCCGTCCGTTTTCCGTCGTCTGTCTTCCGTGGTTAGTCGTCGTCGTCGTCGTCGTCATCGTCGTCGTCGTCGTCGTCACCGTCGTCGACGTCGTCGTTGTCGTCGTTTTCCAGGCGGAACGGCCGATACAGAGGACGAGGATGACGACGGCGGCAGCGACGGCGGCGACGACGAGAAGGGGTCCTCGTCCTCCTTGTCTTGTTGCTTGCTTGTCCTCCACCTTCTCCTCAGGTTGCGCGCCTGTGGTGCCATGGCTGTGGGCTTCCTGGGAGCGCACCTGATGATCTTGGTTACGGGCGGCGCTCTCACGGTCCAAGGGGCACTTGGCTGGCTGCCGTTCGGGCGCGGGGGACAGGAGGTCCCAGCGCCGACGCCGCCAGCCCTGCCCGGGCCGACAGCGCTGCCGGCAGGCGGTGGGGGGCGAGGCAAGGGGCGAGGACCGCCCGCCAAGCCCGCGCCTGCAGGGGGAAAGGGGCGAGGGCCGCAGGCCAAGCCCCCGGGGACGCCGGGCGTCCCACCGCCGCCGCGGTCAGGGTCGACTACAACGACCACAACCGCGGGCATCGGGCGCGTAGGCGAGGGCGAGCCCTCGGGCAGCCCAGCTACGCCGGCGCACGGAGGTAACAACGAGCCCACGGGCGCGCCTGGGCAGCCGTCCGCCCCGGGAAACCGGACGGGCGATGGTGAGCCTGACCTGCCGCGTGGGCTGGACGGGTATTGGGGGTGGAGTGGTTGGGTCCCGCACCTGCCCCATTGGTGGGCTGGCCGGAACGTACCCCCACCGCCGCCGCCGCCACCTACCCCGCCCCCGGAGGAGGGGCCGGGTCCCGGTTGGGGCTTCGCAGCCTGGGTCTTCGAGTTCGTGGGCTACGGAGCGTGGGTAAGCTCCCCCGACCACCCGGGCACGATCCGCACGAGTGGCGGATGGATTGGATCCGCCGTCGACCGCCTGGGCGTTAAGATGCTTGGGTACTGGTGGGAGACCGCGGTCCTACGCTTTGCCCTAGGCATCTTCACGTTCGTGTTGGGTGCCCTGGCCTTCATCGTCAACACCGCAGCCCAGCCTATGTTGTGGGCAGCCGGGGGACTCCGCTGGGCGTGGTACCAGATTACCCGGTGCTGCCAGCGACGCGGAGGCGATGGGCCCGGCGCCCATCTTCCCCCACCCCCTCCGACTCCCTTGCTGGTGCGCTGGCGCGGGCCGGGCTTGGGCGGCGTGGTGGAGACGGAGTTCTACACAAAGGGGGTCCGCGGCCGAGGGACCAATCGGGCGTACAACCACGTGCTTCTGCGCAAGCACGGGCAGGTGGCCCGCATCAGCTGCAACTTCGCGGACCGGTACCGACTGGACCGCCACGGGCTCAACATCAAGATCGGGCAGGTCCTGGGGTGCACCAGTCGCAAGTGGCGGCTGAACCTCGAGGAGACAGGGAATGTGCATCTATGTCGTGCCGTCGAGTGCGCCTCCTGTCCAGTGGCGCATCCCATGCATGTCGACCAGTACGCGGCCATTGACCACACACAGATCGTGGACTTGGCTGAGCACGGAAAGGCCACGGCCTGCCGGGCAGTCGGCGTGGGACTCCGGAAGGTATTCGGGGTCGTCAAGTGGCTGCTTTGCTCACCCTGGTCGGTTCTCGGATGGCTGTGCCGGGGCCGGCCGGAGCCCCGCTACATCACCGACGCCACGGGCTATCGCCGCCTGGACATCGATTCGGAGAGCGAGGTGGAGGCGGAGGAGCGCCCCTGCCAAGCCGCACAAGTTGGGGCGCAGCTCGCGGGTGGCGCACGCCCCCTCCAGCCGGAGGGGTGCGGCGACCGAGGGATGCAGGAGGCTACTGTTCTGCTACAGGAGGACGCGGAGGTGTCGGACGTCCCCCGGCCGGGGCATTGTCTCAATGCACAGGTGCACCTCTGCGCCCACCATGCGCAGAAGTATCGGTCTACCCTGATCGGCCGCAAGTGCAGCCTCCCCACTTGTCTCCGCATGGCGAAGGGTAGCTGCGGGGGGGCCCCGATGTGCGGGGAACATCTCCGACGGGACGAGGGTCACACCGTGCGCGTCGAAGCGACGGTCCAACCTGGGATTCTCGGGGGCCTGCGCCGCCGCATGCGGGCGCGGGCTCCAAGCCCCGCCAGGGCGCGCGATTGGACCGCGCACGCTGCCGATGGGGTTGGCCTAGCGCCCGGGCCGGTCTACCCCCCGCCTCTACCTCCCCCCGCTGCACCGCCACCGCCCGCCGTGGCCCCATCTGTCGATGTGGAGCCCACGGGGGCGCAGGCCCTAGCCTCTGGGCCGCAGCCGCGTCGCACACGCTCCGCGGAAGCAAGGGCCAGCGGACGCTCACGGTCTGCCGACCGCGGAGCTCCGGGCGATCGGATCGCCCATCACGGGTGGCTTCAGGAGCCCCTACTCGTGAAGGTCTGCCCGATACTTCCGGGCGACCCTCGGGGAGCCGAGGAGGCGTACGGCGCGCCCCCGGCGAGTCCTTGGTTTATTCTATTGGGGGAATGCGAGGGGCTCGACGCACGGGGCACTGGCGGGGACGCCCGACTTATCATCGGGACTAGCCTCGAGGGCGTCAGGGTGGAGGTCCCAGCCAGCGAAGTCGTACGGCACCCCCCTCCGCTGGAGGACGGGCGCTGCCCGATAGACTGGATCAATCGGCTGCTGTACGAGGTCCCCCAAGGGGCTCGGGAAGTGGGGTTGCGTGTCATCGCCCACCACATCCCGCAGGATCTGCTGGCGATGTTACGCCAGGAGCAGCGGGACGGTGTGGACGTGGAAAGCGCGAGCGGCTGGAGGCGGCGCTACCTGACGAACACGGAGCGCCAGCAGCTGCAGCACGACCCGGTGCGCACACTCGGTCACCATCGGCGGGGCGGCGCGCAGGGGGCGCAGCCTGCGCCCGGGATGGAGGGCTTGCCCCGTCCAGCCCCCGTAGCGGCACCGTCGCGCTTGGCGGCGGCCGCCGCCGGCGTGAGCGAAGATGCTGAGGAGCCCGACTCACTCGAAATGTTCATGGATTCCTTGCGAGCCGAGGATCTCGAAGGACGGGGGGGCCAAGCGGCGGCCCTCAGTGCATTAGGTATGGCCGCGGACCTGCTCGGGGTTCCGCTTGATCAGGCGGAACGGCAGCTGCGGCGGAGGGTCGCACAGGTGGCAGCGGCGGGCCCACTGGGGTCCGACCTGGAGCGCGCCCTCGCGGATTTGGAGGATGCGCAGCTGGAAGCGCGCGCGCGGGAGCGTGCTGCGGCCGCCGACAGGGTTCCCCTGCAGGGCAGCCTCTCACGCGAGGGGTCGCGGAGTCGCTCGGCGCGGGGACGGGATCCCAGCCCGAAGCAGGGACCCCGACGCGAGCTCTTCGGGGCCATGCCCCCCATCCAACCCACGGGCCCACGACGGGGCTTGCTGGGTGATCGGGACCTGCTGGCACGCGATGGACGCGGGGGGGCCGCTCGTGGGGCCAATCCGCTCCTCGACGGGGCCTCGGTCCTTGGCCACCTCACTGGCCAGACGCCCCACGGGGGCGGCCTGGGTGGGGAGCGAGCTGGGGGTCCAGACGACGCCGGGGCGGCGGGCGCCCTGGGCGGGCTTACAGCCGAGGCCGAAGCCCAGATCATCGAGCGCCTGGATCGCCAGAACCGCCTCACCGAACGCCACGTCCTCGCCGCCGAGCGGCAGGCGCGGGCCACCGAGGGCGACAAGAAGGCCCGGGGCACCAGGGCAGGGATCGGTCGGGACGAGGAACTTGATCTTTACATAGCCCGGGGATGCAACACCTTCGTGGTTGAGGCCTGCGAGGGGATCACGGGGAAGGACTTGTTCGACTCTCTCAAGCGCATGTGTGCGCACTCCAAGAGCACGCTCAAGACGATCGGGTTTCCCTGCCTGGTTACCAACCGTGTGGCGCACGGCTACGCGGCGCTCGCCTTCGGGACGGGCCCTCACGACCTGGCGGTGGACGACTGCGTCCCCGCGCGTGACGAGGACTTCGATGGCTATCGGCTCCCTGTGGACGACAAGCTGGAGCCCCGCCAGCGGCCCGCCACCCACATGGCGACCTGGTTCAAGAGGGCCCGGTGCGAGATCCAGATGTTCGAGTCCATCGTAGGGGTCGCACACGGGGCGGAGCGTCGGCGGTCGTTAGGGTTCTTGGAGGCGGCCTTCGAGAGGGACCCCTCGGAGTTCCCAGACCATTGGGTCAAGGATCTGTGGGAAGAGCTCCGAAGCACCTGGGTCGAGGAGTTACGGGAGCTGAGGCGTCGGCTCTGCCGAGAGCTCGACACCGAGAACCCGAGGAGGGAGGACATCAAGTACATCCTACTCATGCCGGAGAACGGCTACGATTTGCCCCGAACGTTCGACCTCGGGGACCCGAACGCCTACTACCAGCAGGTGGTCGTGCCCCGGCGCAAGGCCGCACTCACGCGCCTCCTCAATGGGCAGCTGAACGCCCACCTCACGAAGCGACCGCCCAAGGCGGGAGGGAGCGAGGAAATGGGCGATCCCCGGCCCACGGCGCAGGGGGATGACAGGCCCAAGGCGGGGGCTGGGCCCCAGCCGAAGGCGGGGCCCAAGGCGGGCACCGGGGCCCCAGCGGGGACAGCCCCCAAGAGGGCGTACCCAGCGGGCAAGGAACTAACACGCCCGGAGCGTACGCGATCCGTGGCGCATGCGCCCCGCAATAAGGACAACGTCCCTATCTGCTGGGGGGCCACCACGCACATGGGCTGCTCGCGGAAGGCTTGCGATTGCCCTAACTCCCATGACCCCATCAAGTCAACGCGCGGATTGGACTACTCGGTAGTCATGCAGCTCACGAGGCGCGGGG